GGGTTGCGATCCCGTTACCGGTCAGTAAAAAAGACAAAAAGGAAAAAAAAATTATGAAGATGGAGTTTCTGCTACTTTATGAAATCCCATCTATAGTTCAACTGGATTATATAACTAAAACCCCCAGTATTTCTATATAAATTACTATGAAGCTAAGGTTCATTCTTTACTATATTTACAAAAGTGATTTTTAAACTTAAAATAGTACATCATTCCATTGCATTTTTAGACTTTTTAACATGGTATTTTAGACACATAATTTAAAATTTTGATTGTCTTTAATAGATGCATGGAATTTGAAACCATAAAGGTTACGTAGTCTGACTTGCTTATTTTACTGATAAGGAAATAAACCCAGGAAGATTAACAGCCTTGCCCAAACTTGCCAACGATTGAGCTAGAATAAGAACACAAGTATTGGATTCTTAGTTTGGTGCCTTTTCCAACATCCAGTAAACAAGCTGTTGATTGCTGACCTGCCTCCATTTCTCTGGTGAGATCAGTCACCAGGAGACTAAGAACAAACTACTCTGCAGAGATGTAGACTCAAGCAAGGACTCAAACTCTGCCTCTCCATGCTCCAATGAGCAAATCCTCACAGGACTGCTTCTTACTTTCCAGTCTAGTGAATCACTAGAACAAAAGCATTTATAAACCACCTTACATTATCAATATTGCAGCATTTGCCCTTTGGTCCGTTTGCGGGTCCTCCAATGTTACTAATGTGTTTTCCCATATTTCCTCTTCTTTACTACCAGAAAGTCCAGCTGCTAATTTAGTCCTCTGTGTCTTGGGCTCTTTCCTTACCTTGTAAGGGAAGACCTCAGGCACATACACAGCTTGTGTATGTCCTGATTTTTTTGCACCCAGGGAGGTGGAGGTAGGGGGTAGTTTGTGAGAGGAGGGCAAATTACTTCCTTGAAAGCTGATAGTCATTTCTAATTATGATGGAAATTAAAAAATAAATGCCATTATCAAATGTAACAAAAATAACAATTCCTTAATTTCATCTAATATCCATTCTATGTTTCATTCTCTTCAGTTGTCTCAAAAATACCTTTTTTACAATTTGTTTGAATCAGGATCCAAACAAAGCCAACATATTTCACTTAATATGTCTCAAGTATCTTTTATTACAAATGATACTATTAAAAAGATTCTGTCAGGATATTTGAAACTTCATATTGCTGAACTGTTTTCTAAAGTAATTGTACCAATAGAGTTTGAGAGGTTCACTCCTCTCCTACTTTTAGTATTGTTGTGAGGCATCCTCCCACAAGAAATGCACTTAAACGCCATTCGTGCAGTAAAGGGCAGTTTATTCACTCCAGCTGGCCAGCGTCCGTCTCCCAAGGTGCAGCCAAGGAAGAGCAGCATCAGGCTTTGGTCTTGTGGGGTTTTCAAAGGCAAAAACTACATCCCGTTGGCACACGGGTTTGTCCAGGTGCACAAAGCAAGCTAGGGAGCTAGGTCACAGAGGCTGAGAATGAGCCGTTCAAGCAATCAAGCATACAAGTTTTCATTGTGTATGGTTCCTGTTCCCATGTAATAATTCACTGTGTATGGCTCCTGTTTCTATGCAGTTGTTTTTTGTTTCTATGAAAAGGTCAACGATTTCTCATGCAGAAGCGGGGTTAGTCTGCAGGTCAGACAGGGGGCAAAATGGAGTTACTTAGGTCAAGCAAGCAATTCTACAGAAGCAGATAGCATATGTTATGAGGGTGTAGGGAGCTCTATTTCAGTATTGTCAGACATTTTAACTTTTACCTATCTGACAGTAAGCCCTCCTCTTTAAAGACATGAGATGTAAGGGCCAGCCCGTGGCTCACTCGGGAGAGTGCGGTGCTGATAACACCAAGGCCCCGGGTTCGGATCCCATATAGGGATGGCCGGTTCGCTCACTGGCTGAGCGTGGTGCTGACAACACCAAGTCAAGGGTTGAGATCCCCTTACCGGTCATCTTTAAAAAAAAAAAAAAAAAAGACATGAGATGTAAGCCTAGTCTTAAAAATTGTATAATCAAGTGTTTTAGATAAAAATATTTCATGCCCACTGGATATATTTATATAACTCCATACCATCTGAAAGTCACTGTTTTAGCTCCTCGGTATGCCAGGATTTTTCTATTATATATTAATGAATGAAGAAGATAGGTAATTATGGGCTATTTAGTTTTTCCTGGAAAGATATGACTGGTATTGACTTTTCCCTCCTGTGAAGATCCACTTAATACATATGAAACCCAAGGGACCAGATACGGGTTCCACTGTGAGGAGTGGCAGAATTCCTGTAACCACTTTTCTTCCTTATTAGTATCTGTCACGTCAGGTTGTTTGCTCTGATGATGACATAATGCTTTGTTTGTGGGATCATCTGATGTCACTTATACCTTTAGGAAGAATCAGCTTTTAAGTGAAACTTTGATGGTAAAATCTGATCTTCTGGAGCAATTTTCTGAGATCATAGATAAAGATCTCCAGAAGAAAGTATATTCAGGAACTTTTTCTATAAGCTTTCCTCTTTCATCGAGAAATGTGGGTTTTACTCACTGTTGTAATGTTGACAGTAGAACTGGGCTAACACCTGATATTCTTCTGGTTGATTGCTGTTTGGGAAGAGCATCCAAACATTCCTCAAGGACTCTCATTTTGCACAACAAAAGGAAAATCAGCCCATTTTTGGCAATAGGGTGGAAGTCTGAGACAGGAAAGAGTATACCAATATAACTTCCTCTATAGTGGTGAAGAACAGAGTGTTTAATATTATGTCATAGAATAACTGGCGTATTTGAAAGATTTTTCATTTTTGAACACATGTTACATTACGGAAGTTCCCAGAGAACATAATCTATCTTAAGAGTGTGAATAATGGTATCCTACATTGCTGTTATATTTATCTCAGAGAAATTTCTAAAAAGAAAGCAGAGTCAATAAAATGACAGATTTTAAGCTTTCATTCTGGTAAAGTAAAAGCCTTCTAGAAACTCAGTGTGTTAACCAGCTTAATTTTTTAGAAATAGAACACGAGGTGAAGCCTTTTATCACGTCTAAGAGTTTTTTAGTAGATGGTTTGGGCTGTTCGATATATAGGATCATATCGTCTGCAAACAGGGACAGTTTGACTTCCTCCTTTCCAATCTGAATGCCCTTTATTTCCTTCTCTTCTCTGATTGCTCTGGCTAATACTTCCAAAACTATGTTGAATAGGAGTGGTGAGAGTGGGCATCCTTGTCTGGTTCCTGTTCTTAAAGGAAAAGCTTTCAGTTTTTCCCCATTCAGGATGATATTGGCAGTGGGTTTATTGTATATGGCTTTGATTATGCTGAGATATTTTCCATCTACACCTAATTTATAAAGGGTCTTTGTCATGAATGAGTGTTGGATCTTATCAAATGCTTTTTCGGCATCAATAGAGATGATCATATGGTCCTTGTGTTTGATTTTATTAATATGGTGGATCACATTTATTGATTTGCATATGTTGAACCAACCTTGCTTCCCTGGGATGAATCCCACTTGATCATGGTGAATGATCTTACATATGTGCTGTTGTATTCTGTTTGCTAATATTTTATTGAGATTTTTGCATCTATATTCATCAAGGATATCAGCCTGTAGTTTTCTTTCTTGGTTATATCTGTATCTGGTTTTGGTATCAGGATGATGTTTGCTTCATAGAATGTGTTTGGAAGCTTTGCTTCTGCTTCAATCTTTTGGAATAGTTTGTAAAGAATCGGTGTCATTTCCTCTTTGAATGTTTGGTAAAATTCTGCTGAGAATCCATCTGGTCCCGGGCTTTTCTTTTTTTGTAGTTGTTACAACAAACAAACGGAAAGGACATTCTTGGGGGGGAGGGGAGAGAGGGAGGAGGGCGGGAAGTGTCGGTGGTGGGCCATAATAATCATATATATTGTATATTGACAAAATAAAAAATTAAAAAAAAAAATAAATAAATAAAATTCCTCTTTCCAGGGATTTTGGTACAAAAAAAAAAAAAAAAAAAAAAAAAAAAAAAAAAAAAAAAAAAAAAAAAAAAGAAATAGAACACGAGGTGCAAGCTCGGCTTCCATTTTCCTCTTATAAACCAATGACATCTTCAGTTCTGGGACAGCTTTCAAAAACGTGGTTTTGATAAACGTTGGCAGAACTGGTGCATTCCTAGAATAAATTCTGTATGCTCAGCTTTCCCTACCCAAATTCATCCCTAGGTCAGATGACCACAAAACTGTCGACCACAGAACTGCCCGCCAAGAAACAGACTGAACGTGATAGAAGGTATAGCACGACACTGGTATAGTAAAAAAAATTCATGCCTAGGGTCAAACTTTTAGTCGAATTTAGACTACTGTAAAAACCATACCTATTACTGATACATGTGAAGTTTAAAACTAAGGGGCTGAGGTAAGAGAGTGGAAATCGCACACAAAAAGAAAAACTTCAAAAATTTCTTTCCCCATTCAGACAAGTTTCAGCTCTACAAATCTAAATGTCTTTGCCTTTAAAGTATCAGTGACATTCTGCTCTCGATTCTCATCCCGTTGTACGATGAACCTGTCGACACAGGAATATGAGAAGGCTACCAGGTCCGCAAAGACCAGAAAGCAGCCGGGCGAGAAGTTTTATCCGGCCGCAAGGGTGTGAAAGGGGGCTCAGTGATGTGGAAACGACATCCGAAAAGAAAAATCTGTAAGCCGTACACCTGTGGTTGGAAAAACAAAACGAAACAAAAAAACCGCACGGATCCAGACATCATCAAGACCTCGCGGGATACACGGAAAAATCAACAACCGTAGTCAGATCAAAAGCAGAGCGGCATCTCCTCGGAGAAGCGGGTGAGGCTGACCGACGCGGACGCCGACGAGCCGGGTTGTGATCAAGTGGACCTCCAACGCCACAGACCTCGCCCCCGCCCACGCCTTCCCCCGACGCCCCGCGCGCCAGCCAATGTCCTCCCGTCGTCCCCTTCCCATCGGAGGCCCCGCCCCCCACGCCCAGGATGTTTGGGCGCCTGCGGCGTGACGCGAGCACGGCAGCTCCGCCCCCTGCGTCTCTGGCCTTGCCGGCCTTGGGGGGATGGTTCCATCATGGCGTCAATGCAGGTGAGGGGAGTTTGCTGCATCTGGGCTTGCGAGGGAGCCGCCGAGAGAGTGCGAGCGTTCGGGCTGGGGTGGTGTCCAGGACCTGGGGGCACCCGGGCGGTCTTGGGAGCGGTCCGGCTGGCCGGTCTTCCCCCAGCCTCAGGGCGTCGGGGAGGGGCGAGAGGCGGCGTGAGGAAGGGCGCGGGGCTCGCGCGGGGTGGGGAGTGTCTCGGTCGGTCGAAGCGGACACCAGCCGGCCGGGAAGTTGCGGGATAAAGGAGGCTGAGGGGAAGAATGAGCGAAGTCTGGCTTTGGCTCCGCGGTGGTGGTCTCGGAATCGGCCCCCAGCACACACACACGGCCGCTGCTGGCCTGCCCGCGAGCCTCAGGGATGCCTTTTCCCCCGCGGTTCCCGGCTCGGCGGAAACAGCTGCGCCCGTCGTTGTCGCCGGGGCACGGTCGGCCCCGAGAAGGGCTGAGTGTGGGGGAGCTGAAACGGAATTCTCGAAGAAGGTGGCTGGCTGTAGACCGCCTAGCGGCCTCTGTTCAGGCCTCCCACGCCCGGCCTCCCAGACTGCTCAGCCCGTTCACTCTATTCATTTTGACTCGTAATCCTTTGCCGGTGGGTTCCTTGTCCTATCAGCCTCGGCTGTCTCACGAACATTCCTCCAGCAGCCCACTTTCTTACTCCCTCTGAAGCTGCCTTTAGTCCACCAATATCATTTGCCGCTTAATAGGCGATCTCCCGAGAGCCAAGTCACTGGCTCCCTTAAACCTCTCGGGATAGCTCGCCCTCTCTGATTTTTTTCTTTTGATGCCCCACCCTTGCGGTCGCGATAAGGCTACAGCTCTTTGCCCTTCTTTCCCAGAGCTTTAGTGGAACCATAGTTAGGTAGGAGTCATTTGTTAACCTGTGTGATATCTACCTGACTTGGCAATACGTGGTTTTCTGGTTTTCCAACTTAATTTACTCCTTTTTCCAAGTCCAGGGAGTTTGGTTTTTTTTAGGCAAAGATGGCAACCACATGTGTAGTTTTGTAGAGATTGAATCTGCATTGTCTGTAGCCTGCAATCTAATTCACAGATGAGGACTAGCGGTATCAAAACATATAGGAAGAGAAGGTAGAAGAACTCTCGTTAGGAGTGTCAGCTGAACGTCGTCTAGTGTTTTAATAACATCTTAAGGAAGAGACCAGGTTTTTATAGAAGGATTTTTTGCTTTTGTTTCTAGAAAAATAAGCAAGTCTCTATCTCCCTTCATTTTTCTTCTTTTGTACTAGGAGTGTCTTTCTCTTTTCTCGTTTCTCCATCTTGTTCCTCTTTTTGTGCAAATATTTCTTTGCTTCACATTTATTTCTGTGCTCTTATGTTACGCCTTTCTACCTGTTTTCCTTAAAATACACTCTTTACCTTTGCTTCTCTCTCTTGAGTTTCCTGCAGAACAGAAAAGTTGTATATAACATTTCTCGTGGAAGAGATGTCACGAAATGGTGCAGGGAAAAAAAAATTTCAGGAAACATACTTTACACTAGTCTCCCCAGGGACGTTAGAGAAGTTGCGTCATTTGAAGCCGAAAAAAGGAACTGGGGAACACCAGTTGAACAGTAGATGGGCTGTATCTGTATTAAGATAAAAACATTATTTGTTATGACCAGTTTAAGATGATTATCTGTATTAAGATTAAAACAGTAAGACTAAAAATTAAGATTAAAATCCACATCACCTGTGATTTTATTTGACAAGAGAACACTGCTGGTTATGTTAGGTGATTAGATTTAGACTTCAAGTATCTAGAAAAGCAGATTTGTTTTTGAGAGATGTTGATAATCTTGAATTTTGTATGGTGACTTAAGCAATGGAAAAAAAATACTTGCCAGTGCAAAAGTGCATTTTTCTGTGCCCAAAGTACTGCCTTATCACCCTTCTTTATTAATGAGAGGAATGGAAAACTGATGCTTCCTATTTTAATTAAAACTAAACCTTTCCCTTTTATTTGTATTTAAAATACCTGATACAGATTTTCTGGTCATAGCTTTAAAGATATTTTAATATAGATAAATCAAACTTTTTGAAATACAACACTACTTTGTGTGGTTGTTAATTGTGTCTTTGCTGTACAAAATTTATTTCCTGACCATCTTAATAGCAAAGTTTAGTTGTTAAGACAATTAAATCAGACATAAAGCTATGACCAAATTATCAAATTTGTTCATTCACCCAGCAATTATTTTTGGAGGGCCCACTATGTGTCAGGCATTTATTGAGGTGCTGGGGATACAGCAATGAACAAAGAAGACAAGATTTCTACCCTCGCATATTTAGTAGTCTAGTTGGAAGAGACAGATGAGAACAAAGTATTATATTAGAAGGTGGTAGTGCTATGAAGAAAAAGCACGGAAGGAGGTTTGGAAATTGATATTTTGGGGATTTCAGTTAAACTGATTAGGAAGAAGTATGCTATAACAGGGAGTGCTACTCTAAACATCTCCTTATCTAAAAAGATTTTAGTAGATCTTTCTTACCCACACCAGGATATTACTGCTGCTGAAGAAGAGGTTACTTAAGCTGTAGGAGGAACTGTATTTTGAAAACATATGCCATATTATGCAAAAGTAACATGGAGTTTGATTACTTGATAAAAATGAAGTAAATAAATTAGTCTTTAGGATCAATGCAATAAAATCAAGTAAGTGCATAATTTGAATTTCTTTTCTTTTTTTTTTTTTTTTTTTCCTTTTTGTCTTTATTCGTGTCCGGCAACGGATCGCAACCCTCAGTGTTGCACCCGCACCTCGCTCAGCCAGTGAGCGGGAACCGGTCTGTATGTGGGATCCGAACCCTCGGCGGGAGCGCCACCGCGCTCCCAAGCAGCGCACTGTAGCAGTGCGCCACCGGGCGGCCCCATAATTTGAATTTCTTATTGGAGAGTATGTATTTTAAAGTTGAGGTTGTACTGCTTTAATGTATTCTATCAGTGCTTCCCAATCTTTCAGGTTGTGTCAAACCTAGAAAATAATTTTGAATAGTACACTAAGATAGATGATGTTATTGGAGGCTGGAAGCACCTGGGCAGGCAGCTCCACATCAGACAGTGGGAATGGGGTTAATATTCTGGCACACTTGTAATGTTGGGTGAAGCCCTAAACTATAATATTTAGAGTTTTTCAATATACAGTTCAAGATAGTGGTTTTCAGACTTATGTGAGCCCTTTGAGACTTTCTTTACCCTTTTTTTTCTTCTTCCTACTGTTCCTAGAACAGAGTCACGAACACCAAGTAAGATTATGTTTTAAGAAACTGTTTTTAAAGGAATGGTATGCTCATGGTGATGCTTAAAATTGTCAGGAGTTAAATCTACATATAATTTTGGTAATTCTAGAAATTTTAAAATATTAAATAGGAAGTTGTAGCAAATTTTTAGTTTTAGCATTTTAGGGACTCTGATTATTTTGTACAAACTTTCTGTTCCCAAACTGCATTTCTATTCCCAAACTTATTAAAGTGGATTTTTGTGTAATTCTAAATGTTTTTGAGAAGTGTAGCAGTATTGGGATATTCTGTTTTCAGCTAAATCCCAAAAGTTGTATTTTTGTGTTAGGTTTCTTACTTTATAATCTAACCCACCCACCCCCATCCCCCCACCCCTGCTCATTTCAGGTTATGAAATACTTAACTAATTTGGCTTCTTGGATATATTTCCCGATTTTAGAATTCAGCCTGTTTCATACAGACTTAAGTTAGAATTTTTAGAGTATACCTAGTGTATTTTTCTAAGTATGACACTCTAGATTTATTAATTTTAGGTATGGACTCTCTTTTTGTCTTAAGGTCATAGAAAATCAGTGCATAGTAGGTGATGTTTGTCAACTCCAAAAATGGTGATATAATTCAGAGAAATGGTCAGTTGAATTACTCTCCTGTGAATTGTTTACATTTTCTTCTCTTACCTAGCTGGGTCTTAGGCTATTGACTCTTAGAAGGAGGTTGAGAATTAGTAATAGGAGTATGAATGTATGCTTATTTTCAATGACTTAGAAATAATTATTTTGAGGCTGGTCCGTGGCTCACTTGGGAGAGCGTGGTGCTGACAACACCAAGTCAAGGATTAAGATCCCCTTACCAGTCATCTTTTAAAAAAATAATAATTATTATTATCATTTTGGATTATTCATAGCTCTGCTTTACTCTACTCAAGTAATCGGCTGTAGTGATTGAGAGAGGTGGAATATGGGCTCTTACTGACATTGCTGTTACAGTAGTCATGTTGCCTTGGCATTTAGATACCACATGCTTATTTGTTGATGTCATTATGAAGGGCTACAGCATAATCAAAAGTTAGAAAACTAACTATCATCTTGGATGCTGAGGCTCACTGAGCATTGGGAACTTGTGAAGTATGGCTAGCATTATAATATCTGAGGAGGTTAGGGGCCGGCCCGTGGCTCACTCAGGAGAGTGCGGTGCTGATAACACCAAGGCCACAGGTTCCGATCCTATATAGGGATGGCTGGTTCGCTCACTGGCTGGGCGTGGTGCTGACAACACCAAGCCAAGGGTTGAGATCCCCTTACCGGTTATCTTTTTCTTTTTGTCCTTTTTGAGACCGGCCGCACCGCGCTCAGCCAGTGAGCGCTGTGAGCAAACCGGTCATCCCTATATAGGATCCGAACCCGCGGCTGGAGCGCTGGTTATCTTTAAAAAAAAAAAATAATAATAATAATATCTGAGAAGGTTGGTTAGATTTTCTGATTAGAAATAGGGCTGTCAGAGAGTTGTTGGAGCAAGGGCCAAGGGAAAAGGGGGACAGCATAGAATAGAACTGAGGGTGTTCTGTGAAGGATAAACATTAAGTAGATAGTAGACTACAAATAAACAAAAGCATTAAACTATGATAATCTGTTAACTGCTAAAATAGTCATTGTGGTGCTTTTCTTTTTGCTTTTAATCAATTACAGTATATACTGTATGAAAGCCCTTTTATTTTTGTAGGTTGAGTACCTATAAAGGAATAATTTAAAATT